CGCCATGTGGTCTCCTCCGGGGCAGGCGGGATTTGAACTCATGCGGAAATGGCTTTAGCTTCTCAGTGCAGTGCTTTAACCCGCTGCGCCACCAGGGAGGGCCGGAATCTGCATTTTAACGATCTTTCATGTGACTCGTACCTCAAGGTATGCACACGCAGATCGGCACACTCTTATTTAATCCTCACTCCTGCTTCCCCCCTCCCGCCCCGCTTTGGGGTCAGCATTCCCATTTAATGTCCAGTCACCCTGAAGTTTGGTGAGATTTGGGCCTGAGACCTCACCTCTGTCTCCCCTGGCACTTCATTTCAGGAGCCTCCACCTCCTGGAGTCTGGGGCTTGGCTGCCCTCTGCTGGTTCTGCTGCCCAAGATTGCGTGGTGAGTGGCTGAGGGGTGACTGCAGTGCCCAGACCAGGAGAGGCCCCGGAGGGCACTTCTCACAGCTCCGGGACCTCCACTGAAGCAGAGAGACCCGGGGCCTTGGAATTGAAAAGGCACCAAAAGAAAGACTAACTTACAGATGGTCTCGCAGGTTCTAAAGGGGACTGGTGTCCTCAGCAGGGGTGGGGTGGGGGCATTCTCTACCCCATTTCAGTCTCTTCTTCCCCAGTTTGGAGACAGGAGGCTGTCGAGGAAGGGTGTCATTTGTTAACAGCCTGAGGACGTTCCAGAGTCCTCCCTCCAGAGGGATACCTGTGGGAGAGGGCCCAGGGAGAGGGACCTCTAGCCGGGTTCAGATCTGGCTTCTCTGGCTCCATTTCCCTTCCTCGGAGCTCCAGGGGCATTGGATTTCTCCTTCTCAGAGATTTAGCAGAGCTGAAATAAATGAATCCCTCAACAGAAGCCAATATCCCTGCCTGATTGCAGGGTCTAATTGATGTTTTGGTGGGCATCGCATTGCTTGGAAATTAAAACATTTAACATGGTTCAACGTTAAATCAATTTTTAAATACATTTTCCAGATACCTTCCGTTTCCTCAGGAGTCAGCTGAATGGATGGTTGTGGAGTTGCCAGTTCAGCTTTCCAAATGGTCCTTTTTGGTGGAGGTGGTGGTTCGTCTGGTTCTAAGTTGCCCTGGGCTTTGGGGACGGGTTGAAAAAAAAGTACGCTGTGTAAGCCAGACACCCAGGTGATGAGGGCCGGCCCGCCGGCCGACCCTTCTGGAGGCTGGGATGGATTTTACTTTGGGAAATCAGCAAGAAGCCTTTGGCCGGGAGCTTTGGCAGGCAGAGCTCAGAACAGGGTGAGAGCTGGGGGGCTCTGGCCCCCCCCCGGGTGGCACGCCTTCTCAAACAGCCATCAACCTGTCCCCCATGGCCTTCCCCCCTCCCTGGGGTGGTGAGTGAGGCGTCCCAGGACCTTTGTTCTGACACCAACACATCCCAAGTTCTCGCCCTGGTCACACAGCCGCGGTCGATCTCATCTGGAGATACGAAGAAAAACCTGCTTGAGGTTCCAAACATCTGCGGCATTCTGTGAGACGTGGGTGGGTTTAAACTGCAGCACAGGCAGGTGCTGTGGAGGTGGCGTGGAGACGGCGTGTTTCCCGGCGTCCCGCGTGGTTGTTATGGAAAATGAAGACACGGCTGTGCGAGGTGTGACCTGCAGGTGCTACTTAGGGCCCGGCCTGGTTCTCACTTGGCAGGGAAGTGGCAGCTCATGCTGCTTCTCAAGCTCGCACGCTCTCTCTTGTTATGAACACTCCCAAGCCCCACCCCTGTTTGGCGGCGGCCTCGCTTCTTGGAGAGACATGCCCAGATCTGCACCCGCAAGGCCTTGGAGCCCCCCTGTCCCCTCTGTGCCGGCTCCTTGCATCCAGCCCTCACGCTGCCACGGTGATGGGGCTTTCGTGTCTCACTCTGCCCACCGCTTGGATTCCACTCCTGGGTGTTTCCTCCCTCTGGGGTGATGACGACGGCTCTTGTCTGGGAGGGTGCCTGCTGCGGCCACCCCTTGCCTCCTTGCCTCATGTCATCGTCGTCACAACGCTGCCAGGTGGATGCCACCAGGCTTCCCATTCTCCAGATGACAAACTGAACCCAAGGGGTTAAGTAACTTTTGTCTAAATCTGCCAGACAGCAGCGGTGTGAATCCTGACCTTTTATCTCACACTGTCTCCTGCATGGGATCTGTTAACTTCTCTAATAAGTTAGATCAGAGAGAGATTCTGAAAATCCCTTCACCTCCTCCTCTGGCGGGAGGCCAGCTTGCCTCACAGCACACCTAATTGGTGGTTGCCTCGGGCAGCAAGACAAATCTAGCTCATGCCCTGCAGGACCCCTGGGGTCTCAGGTTGAAATGCACAGTCCTTTGCGCGCAGGAAAGTGGCGTGTCACAGGGCAGACGCTGCTCCTGGCACCTTTCAATGTCGGCCTGACTGCTGGGTCCCCGCCTGCACCTTCTCCAGTTCCCCTCGCTGACGTAGAACTCAAGGTCACTGCCTGCAGATTCTAGTGCGCTGGCCATGGCTCTGATTGATCAGGACCTGTGCTACCCTGGTGGTGAAATATATACATGTACTATACATAGAGACTAGATATAACATGAGTCACTAAATATTTTGAATATAAGACCAGCCAGATCCTTTCGTAGGACCCCCGAAGTCAGGTCCACTGAGCCTGGTTTGATGGGGCAGGACATCTCCCCGCAACCTCAGACCACAATCCAGCGGAACTTAGAATTATGTTGTTCTCCTTAGTCCTGGGTTTCAGGGTTTCTCCAGGGTTTCAGGCCTGCTGGGGACAGGCGCTGCTGCCAAAGAGGGGTGGCTGTGCCTTGGTGTGTGTGAGTGTGCGTGTGTATGTGAGCGAGTGCGTGCATGTGAGTTTGTGTGAGTGTGGATGTGTGCGTGAGTGTGTGACTGTGTGCATGTGTGAGTATGTGTGTGCACACATGTGTGTGTATGTGAGTGAGTGTGTGCATGTGAGTGTGAGCGCGGTATGTGTGCATTTAACGGAAGAAGTGCACTCCCAGAGAGAGTCACGACACAGTAAACAATAGCAGGCTTTTAAACATTAGGCATTTCTTTGTCTTAAAAGCGTGTTCCCATCCTCGCCTCCCGAGGGCCTTTAAGAACATCCCTAGTGCCCCTGTGAAGCTTATGTGGAATAAACAGCCAAGCGCTGCCGAGACACTGGGTCACGCAGTGCCTTGTAGGGCTTGTTTCAGAAAAGGATAAGGGCTCTCGCACCCCTGGGGAGCCCTCCAACTTGCCGGCAGTGAAGACTTGGTTTGCCTTCACTTTCACCTTTGTCTTGGCTTCCTTCGACCCAAACTGGATAAATGCTGATGAAGCTGGGAGGGTGGGGCCGTCCTGTCACGGGAGGATGCTGGTCCTAAGCAGTTCCCTCCGTCCCTGAGAGGTCTGCCCCTGTGTGTGGTGGGCTGGACGATGGCTTGTGATGCTTCCCCTCACTCCTGCCACTCGATCTTCTGGGCTCTTCTGTATCTAGTCTTGTGCCATTGACACCAGTGCATCTCTGGAGGGATAGCCTGCTCCCCTTAGCCCTAACTTTGGGCTCTGACCATGGGCAGGTGAGCAGACAGGACAGATCCCACTGTTAAGGGGAAGGGTGTCCTAAAGGAACTCTGCAGTCTTGTGGACCCCACCCCCTACTCCGGCTTTCTGGACTCCACTCCCTACTCCAGTGATTGGACACTACAACTCCCAGCAGCACTAGGGAGAGAACTGCGAGGACCCAAGGGCGGAGCTAAGCAGGCATTCTGGGACTTTGGGGGATACCTAGGGAGCGATTTTCCAACTGTCACTCTGGAGATATAATGGTTCTCTCTCTGCAGCAGCTGCTCTCAGACCATGTGACTGGGGCTAGCCGCTCCAAGTTAGCCGCTGGTAAAGTATCCGTCTACTTTGTGTCCTTCTCTCTTTCCCTGGGTTGGTTCCTTTTCCTTTCTCCTTTTTTTAACAATAAACCCATTACCCTTTCTGTGTGTGTCTTCAGAAAATTACATTTTGAGCGCACATGTGAGGCCCCACAGACAGGCAGCCCACCTCCACTCTGGGCTACCCTGGAACACCACTAGCAGGTATCGTGAGCATGCTTGCATGGAAGCGGACATGAACCGAGGCTGTAGCTGGGAACCACGCTGAGGTCAGACAAACCCAGTAGAGCCATAGCCAACCTGAAGACTCACGAGCAGGAAATAAATATTTGTTACAGGAAACCACTGAGAATTTGGAGTTTTTGTTCCTGCAGCAAGAGCAGACACATGCACCATGCCGTCAACATGCCATTGTTGTTCAGCGCTGATCCCATGCTATCGACAGGAAGGTGGGGTGCTAATCCCTTTTAGCTTATCCCTTCATTTACTCTGGGCACTGAACCCATTTGTGAAGTTCTTGTTGTTTAATGATAGCCCCTAATTTTTGTATCTTCTTGTTCCGCATCTCCAGGGGCAGGGGCTGATCCTAAGGTCAGAGGTTTTGCTCATAACATGGTTACCCCCCGTGTTGCCAAGGCAGACTGCATGTCCAGTGCCTCCCTGAACTACTTCACCTGTCCTGACAGTCATTCCCAATCACCCTTACAACTTAGCTTCACGCCCTGCTATCATTAGGCCCTGTTTCTGGAATCTCCCAGAAGGAACTTCAGGTGAGGCAACAGCACATGGAATAGGCACACTGTTCCACTCCCAGGCGTTCAACCTCCCAGTCGAAGAGGAGGTGGAAGCTTGGGCTTGCCCAAAGCGGGCTGGAGGTCCCTGCTCCCTCCCTGCCAGCTGGGGCTTGGCAGTGGCTGTGTTCACCTAGTGGGTGGCTCTTTCTTGGAGCTCTTCCTGGGCTCCAGAAGTCTCTTCCCTCCCTTCCTCTTCAGAGCTTGTGGTGAGAGTTCCCAACTGCAGTAAATCCAGGGCACGTCACATTCTTGTTTTCTCTTACGCTGGCCCACACCTCTGAAGTAATCTCTTCCTTAATCTGTCCTCAATTATTCCCTGGGATTGTGCCATCCATTTCCTGCCAGGACCTGACAGATCCTTTGAAAACATCCAGTATCAAAGGGGAATCCTAGAGAAGTTTCTCCAGCATCCCTGTGATCTGCCAATGTGGTTGCCCACTTCCAGCCTGGCTGGGATTAATGCCACCCTGTGTATTTAATTGGATCTGCTATTGAAGCCACATAGATGCCTCTCTGGCTCACGAATGGCTGGCTGGGCCCTTCACCTGTTGTTAATGCCCTGGGGTGTGATTATCATATTAAGTTGAGGGTTAGTTGCATCTACCTAGCCTGTGAGAAGCCCCCAGTGCTACAACCACAGGAAGACCAAGCTTCAGCTGGGTTTCTGTGATCACTGTCAACCCTGTTAATTCCTGGTCAGTCACTGGCTCTGGGTATCTATGGTCCAGGAGAACATTATTGCAAATA